GAGCCAGGGGAGGAGCCCCAGCCCCCGACGGGACTGGGAGCTGCCCTGGGGAGGGTCTGAGGGCTCTTGGCCGACCACCCCCTGGCTCACCCCGGCTCACCCAGGCCGGTAGACGTGCTCGGCGCTGCCCGCTGCCAGCACCAGCAGCCACAGCAGAAGTGGCTCCCTGGGGCTCCACATGGCCTGCGTCTCCAAGAGGGACAGCCTTCTCCTCAGGGTGGCCTGCAGCACAAGGCACAACCCTGTAAGGCCCTCTGCAGATACCCCTTGAGCCCATGTTGCTGGTGGACTGGCCCGCGGGCTCCGACACCTGCCCAGCTCAGCTTCCTGCCGGCAGGGGGGGCCCCCATGAGTGGGTGCCACCGTGCCTCGCCAAGTGAGGCCAGCCCCTCGCCAGTCACGAGCCCCCCGAGGGATCACAGAGGGGTGACGCCGTCCAGGGCCAGGGAACGGAAGCCAGCACCCTTGCTGGGGGCAGGAGGCACCTTGACCTGTTGGGCTTGGTCTGGGTGAGCCCGGAGAGCACCTGAAGCTCCAAGAAAGTTGACTCGGGCAGGTGGGCACCTGACCAGCTCTCCCTCCCCTGGGAGGTTGAGTGTCCTTGTCACGGCAGGGCAAAGGCACACTTGCACCCCAGTCTCAGTCCGCAAACGGGTGTCAGATGGCATAGCGGGAACCCGGCCCAGCTGGCTTGGCCCTTCTGGCCTCCAGTGTCCTCAGCTGCCACATGCGGGGCCCGTGTATGCGGGTGGGAGTCTGGCAGGGGTGTGGCCTGCACGTGGGAGGCGGGGACTCCTATGCTGGCTGTGGATGGAAGCCAGGCAGGCCAGGAGGGGCCTCCTGGGAATGCAAACCCCAGCCCTGAGGGAATGGCCTGCAGCATGCCAGGGCACCGGAGGGGTGGTGTGCAGCCTGGGGGTGTGGGGAGATGCTGTCCACACATGCAGCCCAGGCTCTGGGGCTCCCTGCCCCCTGATCTGGGCATCCCACCAAAGCCCCCAAGGAGCCAGGGTTCTGTCCCCGTGGGCTGTTCTGGGCCCTGCTGGGCTCCCTGCAGGGAAGGGCACCCCAGAAGAGGCTGACCTTGTGCGTGCGTGTGTGTGCATACGCTGTGTGTATGCACGTACGCATGTGCGTGTGTGCAGGTGTGTACGCTGTGTGCATGTGGGTGTGTGTACACTGTGTGCAGTGCATGTGTGCACTGTGTACACGTGTGTGTATGCAGTGTATGTGTGTGTATGCTGTGCGCGTGTGTGCACGTGTGTGCTAGTGGGGCGTAGTCAGGTAAGGGAGTGCCCTTCTCTGGGACTCAGTCTCCCTGACGACATCAGCGGGGTCTCGGAGGCCCCCCATCTGGCTCTGCCAGTCAGGCCCATAAACAGGGACCCCCACGAGCGGTTTCTGAGCCCTCCGTGCACACCCAGCCGGACCCCGAGCGGACAGTGAGGCCATGCCCGCTGCGAACGGTCACTCGGCTGAGGGTTCGGCCCACACGCGTGCCCCGTGTCGTGAGGCCCTGGGTGGGCAGAGGCGGCGGGAGAGGGTCCTTCCTGCAACCCCTCTGTCAGCCCGAGAGGGGAGGGTCGGGGCAGCGGAGCAGGCAGACTGCGGCGAGCAGCTAAGGTGTCTGGACTTAGTTTGGGGGCGGTGGGGGGACTTCTCAGAGTTTCCAGTCAGAGCCAGTGGGAAGATGAACTCGGGGGTACTGTGGGGGCAGCGCATGTTACAGGGTGGGCCTGATGGTCCAGGCTCGAATTGAAATGGCAAGGGCAGGTGGCCCTGGGAAGGTACAGGGGGGCGGGTGGGCCAGGGGGCCTGTGGCCGAGCCGTGCAGGGCCAGGCCGGGGTTCCACAGATGTACCTGCTCTCGCGGCCGCAGGTCCAGCACCTCCCCCCTATCCAGGCCGTCTGAAGGGAACGGTGCCTTCGGAAAGGGGAGGCCCAGTTTCTGAAAGTCACGCTTCCCCCCACCCCCCCAGGCCTGAGGAAGCGGATGGCGCTGCCCGGCCTGTGCTGGCCTCGCAGAATCTCATTTCCCTTTTGGTGCCGGCCAGTCGGGGCGGTTGGGGGGGCCGCGCGCCTACAGGTCCATAAGCAATAGCGTCCTGTCCCTTGGAGAGAGTCGGCGTAAGCCTTGCCCATCACCTTCCCTTGCACCTGGCCGGCCTGCATCCCCGGGGGGCCACCCGTGGAGGCTGGGTCCGCAGAGGGAGGGGCCTGACTCCACCTTGGGTTGCTGCCCGGGTCGCCCCCCACCGGGAGGGGTGCACTGCACGGCAGGACCCACGTGGGGGGCGCGGAGAGGCGGAGTGAGATGAGGCTGACTCTTTATGGGTCCTCTCCACCGCCCGCCCCACGTCTCCCCTTCCCCCTGCATGGCCGGCTTCGTGGGGGCTGGAAGTGGGGGCGGAGTGACACCCCGGCCCCGCAGACGGCTCGGCTGGCCTGGGCGGCGGGGTCCGGGGCCTGCGAGGCCTTGAGCCAGGCCCTGAAGGATCCGCTGGGCTCGGATGGGGGGTGGGAGGGCTGCGGCGCCCCCCACCCCGGCCCCCCGCGCGGCCCAGACCCGGACGCCTGTCACCTGCAGGGGGCGCCCTTTCCTCAAGGCTGCTGGGCCCATTCTGCAGACCCAGCCTCAGGACGCGGGGCCCGGGCTGGGGAGCAGGGTGGGGGCGCG